ATTCAGCACCCCCCGAATCAAAATCCTGGCTAGGGGCCTGACACTCTCCATTCTGATTAATGGCTGAGCCAAGGTATGGAAAAACTTAAACTAATTCAATATTTTCATTAACTACTTCAAAGTCATGTAAATCATTTATGGTCATTCTGTTTGCTTTCTTCCTGTTCAACTGTAAATCTTCCTTTGCACTTTTCTCATTGAGTTTCTTTAGTAATCATCCAAATCTTTGTCTTTTCTTCTAGTAGTATGATGTTATTTGCACAACTTAAAATTGTTGATATTCCTTCCTCCAATTTTCACACCTCCTCCTTTTGAGTCTAAGTCCGCTTTACATGTTTGTTTTTTTTTGTGACTAGGAGCAACTTGAGAAACTGCAAGTCGCTTCTGGTGTGAGAGAACTGGCTGTCTGCAAGGACATTGCTCAGGGGATGGCCAAATGTGTTTCCATCCTGTGGGAGGCTTCTCTCATGTCCCCTCATGAGAAGCTGGAACTGACAACAGGAGCTCACCCCGCTCCCCGGATTGGAACCGCTGACCTTTTGGTCAACAGTCCTGCCGGCACTAGAGTTTAACCCATTGTGTCATCAGGGGCCTTTACTCTGACTAATACAGATGTGTGATGCCCTTATCAAGGGCCTCCATTAAGTGCCACCCACACTAACATCCACTCAAGCTACAAGATGTATACTCTCCCCTGCACACAGCTGTGTTCTCCATCTACTCCAAATTGTGTCCTGCCAACACAATGGCTGAGCCAAGGTATGGAAAAACAGAAAAAGTGATAAAATGTAGCATTTACTGCCCCCCTTGTGTATTGACAACATTCAGTTTCTCTGCATAGCAGTACCTCATGTCCTGAATACAGGTTAAGTTTCAGAACAATCAAATGTCTTGGTATCCCCCAAGAGCAATCCATAGTTTTCCATGTTCTATACAATCAAAGGCTTTAAATAATTTGGTGTGCTCCATCAATCAACTAATGTTGATTCTGTCTCTGTAGCCTGAAGCAGCTCTATAAGTATGCCATCTGCCCCTGACAGTTTATTTCTCCCAAGTGCTTCCACTTCACTTTGTAGAAGTGTAGGTTCATCTTCACATAGGTCTTCCTTGAATCATCATTTAATCTCTTTTACATAATAATAATAATAATAATAATAATAATAATAATCTTTATTTATACCCTGCCACCATCTCCCCAAGGGACTCGGAGCAGCTTACATGAGGCCAAGCCCAACAGTACATCAATAAACAAAAGCAATAAACAAAAACAATAAATACAATATAAACCACATATAAACAATAACCAATAAACATAACACACAAGGATTTAAAAAACCTATGGCCGGGCCAAATGTAACAGTTTAAAAATTAAAAAATAAACGCTGGGCATGAACAAGGTAGGATATAACTTGTATAGGGTTTTTAAAGAGAGATGAGGGAACAGTCAATCCTAAACCAGTAATAAAGTGCATTTGAGGGCATATTGCTGAGAATTTTCCTTATTCTGTGAAGGCACACTGGAACAACCATGTTTTCAGGCTCCTCCTAAAGACTGCCAGAGTTGGAGCATGCCTGATGTCCTTGGGAAGTGAGTTCCAGAGTCGGGGGGCCACCCGACTGTGCCTTTGACTAGATAGTTCCCCAAATAATGCCCGTTAGAAACACAACAAGATGAGTCCACAGCAAACAAGATCACTCTGCTGGCTATTGTATTGAATCACAGGTCGGACACTTCCCAAGTGTCTAGGACTGTTGGTGTATCAGCGAATAATGCATGCATATCCCAGTAGGGTGGCCTTCTGTAGCTGGCAGATGGTAATTTTGTCAGCGCCGATTGTGTTTAAGTGCAGGCCAAGGTCTTTAGGCACTGCACCCAGTGTGCCGATCACCACTGGGACCACCTTTACTGGTTTGTGCCAGAGTCTTTGTAGTTCGATCTTTAAATCCTCATATTATTATTATTGTTGTTGGTGGTGTTATTATTGTTTAGTGTAATGTTTCCATTGTCTTTTTATGTTTACATTGTCCTATAATGTGTTCCCCTGCATTTAGCACCCCCACTCCTGGAGGTACTAAATTTTTCTTTTGATTTTTAATTTTTTTTTTATCTTGTGAAAGAGTTCTCTTGTTTTTCCTGTTTTTCCTTTTTGTTGTTATTTTTGACATTGTTTATTTAGTAGTCTTCCATGTTGCTGCATGCAAGTTGCCGAACAGATGCATTCAGGGTTCTCTTTCCTACCTGGTGACTTTTCCCATCACCTACCTGGTGCTATTCCCCGTCCCTATCACCTTTTACTTGTGTTTGTCATCTGCTTAAAGAGATTCATTTCTCATCCATTAAGGCTTGTCTTTCTTTTTGGCTGCTGATACTGTCTTTTCGCCTTCCTCCTTGGCAATGTCCCTGGCTTCAGTTTCCAGAACTCTTTGGCTTCCGATCAATTAAACTTAATAGTTAAAATCTATTTTCACATAATCTTTAAATTCTTTGAGAATGTGCTTTAGGTTGTATTTTGGCACAATGGTTGGTTTAGTGGTCTTCTTTAGGCATTTCTCTCTCAAGAAGGCAGAGCTCTGGGAATAAGGACAGAAAAAGTAGAAGGGTTTTTTTTTAACCTCCTGCTAGTTATATTATGAAATATTTTGATCATTTACATGATGTCTGATGCCTGTTGAAGAGATGAGATGTTTTTACTGGTGGCAGTAATCACTGTTAGTCAATACTCCGGGAAATGTCAGTTGGTCAGAGCATAGACGTGGTAATGAAGCGATGAACTACTTGAGCAAATTGTGGTGCCAATAAAGAGATAAAGCATTGGCACTTGGATTTTGAACTCTGCCCTTTCATCTCTTTTCCAAAGAAGACAATTTAAACGATGGCACTCAAAGCCCCTATTACCATATTGTGATATTATGTATTATCAGGTAGGAGGTTTTTAAAAAATGAGAAGGTGTTTTGAACGACTCTCACACAGATGATGTGCAAATGTATGTAAATAGCATTGACACAGTATGCAAATTACTTGCTGTATATTCAGGGCTTCAGAAGCGATTGCTTCTAGTCAGCAACATGCAGAAGCCTGGATCGCTTGCGTCGGAAGTCACCTGGCAGTAAATAGCTGCTATTTTCTGAATGTCACTACTGCCCTCTGATGGTTTCAATATTCAAGCATCTTTGAATCCTTCTGTTTGTATGCTTCCCTCTCTTTCCCATTGGGAACTGCAGTGTTTCTGGCTTTTAACAATTACACCCTGAGGCAGGGATTGGAAACAAGCCCAGATCAAGGATAGTAATGATGCTAAACACTGGTATTCACTGAAACTCAGTGTTGAAGAACAGAAGCTGTTTCACTCTTTTATGTCCTGCTATGATATAAACCAGTATAGGGCTGGGCAGAGACATTTTGATGCCAGAGGCCAATATGGTGCCTCTCTCCTGTTGCACTGAGAAAAGCTGAACAAGTTGATAGTTAATTTGACTTGGATACCTGGGATGGCATGGCATGGCATGGCATAGTGCGGGGCATTCTTCACCACATCTGTAAGTAGTAAAGAAGTTTAGGGGAGTAGGAGAGGTTTTGGAGTACTCATAGTTCTATCTGCCAGTTGAAGGAAATATCCATAGGGCTGAAGTGGAACATCTAGGACAATACTATTGGTATTTTGCTTCTGCCAGCTAAGGCAGTTGCCTCATCCTATTTAATGGTAGTGCCAAGCTTGTGATCAAACAAACTTCTGTGAAGATTTTTTTCACATATTCAAATAGATTTTATTTATTATTTATTCATTTACTACATTTATATACTGGTTTTCTCCCCCTAAGGCAGTGTTTCTCAACCTTCCTAATGTCGTGACCCCTTAATAAAGTTTCTCATGTTGTGGTGACCCCCAACCATAACATTATTTTTGTTGCTACTTCATAACTGTAATTTTGCTACTGATATGAATTGCAATGTAAATATCTGACATGCAGGATATATTTTCATTCATTGGACCAAATACTGGTAGGGTTGGGATTGATTTTGTCATTTGGGAGTTGTAGTTGTTGGAATTTATAGTTCACCTACAATCAAAGAGCATTCTGAATTCCACTAACGATGGAATTGAGCCAAACTTGGTACACAGAACTCCCACGACCAACAGAAAATATTGTGTTTTCTGATGGTCTTTGGTGACCCCCCTGACACCCCCTCACGACCCCTCCAGGGGTCCTGACCTCCAAGTTGAGAAATGCTGCCCTAAGGGAACTAATACAGTTGTATCCACATAGCAGAATAATAGCTGTTTGATACCTCATTCACTGCCAGGCTTAATGATATGGAATTCTGAGATTTGTAGTTTTATGTGATATGTACCCTTCCCTTTTGGCAAAGTAGAATTCCCTGAGATAAACATATGACAGTTAAAATGGTATCAAACTGTTATAATTCTGCAATTATTTTTATTTATTTATTTATTTATTTACAGCATTTTTACCCCGCCCTTCTCAACCCCTGGTTGGGGGGGACGACTCAGAGCGGCTAACAAAGGCAGCAGTTCGATGCCACAAATCAATTATCCCAGTATAAAACCATAAATACATACAGAGTTAAAACAATAGCAATTAATTATAACCAAATTATCATAACAGTCATTAAATTAAAAAGCAATGCTGATCATGTCTCGGTTGCACTTTTGCTATTAACTGCCATCAAGGCAATTTCATCTTACACTGATCCCCATAAACTCTATCTATATGCTCATATATATATATAAGGTAAAGTTTTCCCCTGACATTAAGTCTAGTCGTGTCCAACTCTGGGGGTTTGTGCTCATCTCCATTTCTAGGCCAAAGAGCCGGCGTTCTCCATAGACACCTCCAAGGTCATGTGGCCAGCATGACTGCATAGAGCACAAGTGTGTGTGTGTGTGTGTATCCATGTTCATGCCCATATCTATGCACTAAATACATTATATTCACTGGCAATGTTTAAATATGCATCCTCCCAATTCTTCTTTTACAGAGCTTTTAGAAAAATCTCTGGTTCTCTTAAACAAAAGCCATGACCTTACGGAATTTATAGAGGAATTTAAGTCTGATGGTCCGAACATAAATCCAGCATTCATCCAAGGAGCCCACAATAGCTGCGTGAAAATTGCTAGTCTCCTTGAAGCTCTCCAAGACAGGAGAAGGCAACTGGACAAATACCTGAAGCTGCAGCGCCAAGGACTGGAGCAGGTTTTACAAATTTGTCAGTGGCACCATCAGGAAAATCAGGTACAGTCCTGGAAGGAAAAAGACACCCATATAATGTGTGTGTGAGTGCATTTCTAATAGCATATAGAAATGTATGAAGACAAGTCCTCGGGTTCAGTTGCTATATATTGATGGAACCCAATATTTGTTCAAACATTAAATGTAAATATTAAATCTAATGATACTTCGGATTGCACTGTATTTCTGCTGGTACAGGCATACTGCGGGCTCATCTACATAAAGCAGTTTAACCACTGTAAATGTGCCCCAGAGCAGCCCCCAATTTGGCACATTTGTGCTGAATCCAGGGCTGTTGTTTTCATAAATGATGTCCCAGGTGCTCTCATGGAGCTCCATGGCTGGCTAGGAGTGGCAGTGACATGGTGAAAGAATAGCACACACAGCTTCTAAGAAGCGGCTGTGCTCCCTGGCTATGTAAACAACAGTCCTGGATGTGGCAACCTTGTGGATTGGGGTCTGCTCTGGAGCCCATTATATTGGGATGAACAGCCTAATGTAGATGAGCCATAAGAATCCTGAATGACAGAAACTGTTTCAGATGAGAAAAGTATTTATTTATTTACTGTATTTATATACCGCCTTTCTATACTATAGGATGCATAGGTAGTCTGACCTTTTCACAGTTTTGTGATGGACATCTTTGTCTCTAAACTGAGTATCTGATTAGAAAGAGAACAGGAACATTAACACTGGGTCAATACACATTTTGGTGCCTCAAATTTTAGACCTATTTATGGGTATATTCGACATGCTGATTCCAAAAATGGCACCAGTTTTACACCCCCCCGGTCTTCATCTACTTGCCCATAGAAAGTCTTGAGAACCATATCTAAGAAACTAGAGCTGATGCAGTCAATCCAATTCAATTTTCTGAACAGGCCTAAAAACCAAGACACCAAGGACATCTTTTGGTTGGTCTGTTATCTTCAAAAGGTAATGTTCAGAGGTCAAAGGACAGTGCATGAGTTTCCGGATTTATGGATTGTCAATAAATACGGGAACACATCATGATAGTGTGAGGGACTTTTGTACATTCGAGTATGAAAGAAACATAATGGAAAACCATGTAGAGAAAACAACTATCAAAAATACTTCAACAGGATAAGGCAAACACAACTGAAGCTTCCATCTAGATAGTACTTGACCCCAATGAAGCTGTACTATAAAAAATGAAAATCTTTCTCAGGCCTGTTGAAGGAGCTGTTCTGTCACAGGAATACTGATTTCTCTGTGTTAGAAATGGTCAAATATTTTGGATGGCCACATAAAAAACTCTTTCAAATATGACTCACCAATCTAAACTGCTGATGCCTTTAATAGCACTTCTGTCTAGTTTTGCTGAAAATGATAAACATTTTATTCATAGGGATCTCCTATAACTTTGTATTAGTAGCACCAGGTAGGAAAGAGATTGCCTGATTCTGGAAAACAACTGCAGGATACTCTATAGGTGGGTGGTTACTAAGAATATGGAGTATGAATACAGTATTGAGGGTGACATATCACAATTGTTTGAACAGAGAGGTAGAACAGTGATTTAATTATGAAAATTTGGTTTCTTTTAATTCTCTAAGGCCCCTTCTACACTGACATATAAAATCCAGATTATTTGATTTGATAATCTAGATTATATGGCAGTTTAAGTGGGCAAGAGACCTTTGTGCATGTCTCCACTAGCAATCCATATTTCTTGCCTGTGACAAATAAAAATGGGGGGGGGGGGGAGAAGCAAACAATAACATTAGTTACTTTTGACAACGATAATTTACCAGCAACTAAATAAGGATGAACTGTATACTAATGTATACCAAGACAGTCTAACATTCCAATGTATTTGACCTGATAAGACAGGTTTCTTTTTGTTACAATTTCTTTAAAATAATAATAAAATGAAAAGTAAAGCAGTTCTTAATGGTAGATAATTGTTGCTGCTRCTRTGTGCATTCAAGCTATTTTCAACTAAAGTCTAACTTTTCACAACGTTTTCTGCGGTTGAGAATGAGGGCGCTTCCAGATTGCACTTTGAAGTGGGTTAAGTCCCCACACCCCAAAAGAAAACTGGGTTTTGCTCGTTGGCTGTCCCCATGCCATTCTGAAAACTTTTGAGATGGCATTGCCCCTCCCAAAAAGGCCTTAAAAATAAATGAAAACTTACCTGGTCACCATTAGACCTCTCTGCAGGCCTCCTGGGACATATCAATAATGTGCTAGGAGGCCGGGGGGAGGGGGGGTCATGAGCGAACTGGCCCTGCCTCCTGGCACATCATTGCTACATTCCAGGAAGCCTGCAGAGAGGCTTAATATTGACCCAATAAGTTTTCCTTTATTTCTAAGGCTTTGGGAGGGGTGCCTTCCTCAGTTCTCCAGGCTTTTGGGTAGTCCCAGGACTATATGGGAACGAGTCCCCACAGGGCCTATTCCCCATTAGAACCAGACCTTACAGGAAGGCCCGAATCAAATAATTTGGGACAAAGCAGGGTTTACCTACTTTGTCTTGAATTACTTTGCTTTTATCTGCAGCGTCATTTGGATGCCTCAAGTAAAAATCCAACAGGGCCTGGGATATAGGCCCTGTCTGGAAGGGCCCTGAGTGATTTGCACAAGGTCACACAGTGGCTTTCCATGGCTTAGTGGGGATTCAGCTCCGGTCTCTAGTGCACACTAATGGTGCACACTAATGGTCTAATGGTGACCAGGTAAGTTTTCATTTATTTTCAGTGATCAGAGTGCACAAATTGCTGTGCTACACTGGCTGCTAGGTAATTAATTAGCACAACCTAAATTATGCGAAAGATTTCCTTTGGCACATTTCTTCCTTATCTTTACCCAATGTAACTAATACCAGTGCAAAACCTTGCAACAATGCTTCAGCATTTAATTAACTTTGCCAAGGACCTGTAAAGGAACAGAGTGCAAAGCTTGACATTTTGGAGATTGAATGATAGAAATTGGAAATGTTTCTAATATATCTGTATCCTTATGTGGAGTGTGCCAGCACTGTTACATTCTGACTAAAGGCTCTCAAACTGATATTGGTAGAAGAAGACAGAGCCAGTATGGCATAGTGGTTTGACTGTTAGATATTACAAGATTAAAGTTCGAATACCCAATCACCCGTAGTAATCCACTGAGTGTTTCTAGACAAGTCACACTCTCTCAATCTCAGAGGAAAACAAAAGCAACCCCCCTCTGAACAAGTCATTCAAGTAAATCCTCATGGTAGGTTTGTCACAACTCAGAGATGGCTTGAAGGCACATAGCAATAACAGCAAGATTAAGAGAATATTTCTATATATATATATACACACACATCTGTAAAAAATTTCCATGCACTAAAATGATGAATGCAGTCTAAGTTGAAGGGAATTCTATGTCTCTGTGTTGTTTTGTACACATGCGAATCTACTCAATGAACTCTGGTATTTTTGATAAAGCCATAGTAACATTTTTATGTGATCATATTTTGATAATGATTGGCCACTGTGTGGATTATATAGATCTTTGTTTTGATCCAACATGGTTCTTCTTACATTCTTATACTCACTAGGAAAAGGACATCATGTTTTACGCAATTGACTGGTTTATTTCTATTTTCTAAAAAACAAAAAACAAAACCCTCACCGGGTTATATAATTAAATAAAGATTGACAGAGTATCCAGCTACCACGAGATATGCTGAACATTTTCTCTCAGGTAGAAAATTGAAGAGAATGGTACATCATGTGTGGCTACTACTGCTGATCCCACCAACCACCAGTTCCCTACCTACCAAGAGAAATGTATATTTTCTGGCTAAGCCCAGCTATAGTGTAGCCACTGCTGCATTGCAACTTGAAATAGCATTTGCTGGTGCAGCAAACCAGACCATGGCACCTTTATCGCTTTCCAGAGCCATCTCACCCAACTGTTCCTACCATGTTTCCCCAATAATAAGGCATACCCATAAAATAAGCTGTAGCTGGATTTCTAAGCATTTACGCAGTATAAGCCATACCCTGAAAATAAGACATAGTGATAAGAGTGGCTATGCAGTGTACTGGCACAGAGCAGTAAAGAAGATTGAAGAGGTGCAGGCAGCCCTATCAACAAGGTCAGTTCCCCTTTCAGGTTCTGGTCGTTCTGTGCATGCTGCAAGCTGAGGCACAGAGGGAGACATAGAAAGTCAAAGTCTCAGTGAAGTGACAAACAGGTATTGTTTAGGGATTGTGTTTAGGTATTTGTGTTTAGGTATTGTATGTCCTCAGGGGGAAGAAGTAAAGCTGTGGCTGCCATTTTGCTCACTGTGGGTCTCTCTCACCCAGCACCAACCAGCAATGGTCTGTGGGTCTTTCTCACCCCCCACAAATACCAGTAAAGCTGCTGTAGATTGTTGCACCACCTATATAAATAAAAATCTAATGTCCGTTTGTGGGATTAACAGAACTCAAAAGCCATTGGACGAATTGACACCAAATTTGGACACAATACACCTATCAGGCCAACAAGTGACCATCACTCATAAAAACACTGAAAAACATAGCAGAAAATACTTAAAAAGACAAAAAACAAAAATTACAATGCATGCACAAAACCATATATATATATATACACACACACACACAAAACACATATACACAGAGTGGGCCACACCAACACATGGCAGGGGACAGCTAGTTCTTAATAAAAATTAGATATCCCTTGAAAATAAGCCATAGTGTGTCTTCTTGAGGAAAAATAAATATAAGACAGTGTCTTATTTTGGGGAAACAAAGTAGTTGTTGAGAAAAAAAGGGTTCTACATGGGCAGTAGATAGCAGTGGAGCAATGAATTGTAGGCATTGTGAAGCTATAATCGTACCATGTTGAAGGAGAAGGAGGACTAGACCGTGAAGGATGTAAAACTGGAATCAGAGCAGGATGTAGTGGGCTGCATTTCTTGGTCAGGTAACACAATATTTTAGGCTGTTCTTATAGTATCCCCACAGGTTTAATAGAATCAACCTATTAAAGACAGGTTGTAA